GGGGGGGAGGACAAAACGAAAACGGAAACAGAAACAAAAACGGATATTATGCGCAGTTGCATCTTTCCCATGCGAATCAGAAATCCTTACTGCCGAGTCCCCATACTTGTCACATGCCTTGCTGCAGTGAAGGACACGTATGGGACATTGATTCCCGGTTCATGAATTTATTCATTTCAATCATTTGCAAATTGTTATTAAATTATCGAATCGAATAGAGGAGAGGGAGATTATCTGAGGATGATGATGATGATGAAAATGGTCCAATCTTGTCTTCTTCTTCTTCTTCTTCTTCTTCTTCTTCTTCTTCCTTTTTCTTGTTCCACTTCTTAAGTTGCGATGAATGACATTGTCCCAAAGTTGATTCTTGCATCATGAATTGGAGAGGGCCATTGCAAATAGAAAACCACTGAGAAAGAAGAAAGCAATCTGAACTTCCCAAGCAATGGCGATCAATGCCGAGTCGCTTCATGCTTACAAGCCATCCAGACATCCAGTCTGGCCGGATGCCAATCAGGCAGGCCAAACCCAACTTCTCAACGTCTTGGCGGGACAAGCAGCTGAAAAAGCATAGCATGTGTCGGTAAACCACGCACGCAGGACCACAAGTTCTGAAACTTTTGTGTTTCCCCAAAAAAGGAATTCAGAAACAATGTATTGTATGTAGAACTTGAATACAAACAACTTTTGGCCAAGGGTGTCCACAAAATTACTAACAAAATGGAAGATAAAAAACAAAAGAGAAATTGACTTCAATGCACCCCTTCAAACCCCTCTTTTAACCCGTTTTCCACCCTGTCAGCGACTAGGTGTCCCTTGCAGCTCAAAGCCTGAAAGACGTGATTTTTTCAGAATCGGGCCTGGGTTTGGGCTCCAGTTGACACGTACCCAATGAAAATTCTGGTCCTGAACTGAAAAGGACCTCTCCATGGGCAGCCCAGCTGGACAGGTGAGCTACCTAGGATTCTAAAAATATATCTTACGACTCGTCCGAAGAGTTTGCCTGACACCTGTCTGGCCTGGCCAGCTCAGCTGGACAGGTGAGCTACCTAGGATTCTAAAAATAAATCTTTTGATCATTTTCAGACTTTTCCCAAAATTCCCTAGGAAGATTCTCACGCCTGGCCGAAAAAAAAAAAAAAAAAGTTTTGTTTTTCTTTTTTTCTTTTGGTTTTCTGCGCTCTACCAGAGGACTCCAAATCCCGGCTCATTTCGTTTTTACGAGTTGGCTGTCAAGGGGGGGGGAGGGGGGTATAAATTGGTTTTAAAGGGGCTAAAGGGGTCTAAAGGGGGGTGCCTTTGTGTGATTCTGTTATTTTCTTTTTTATCTCCGATTCTGTCAGGAATCATAATGTGACCCTCAGCCAAAAGTGGTTTGCATT